CCGGCCGGCAATCAGAATGGCGCCCAGGGAGACCCGATCAATGCCAACAAGAATGCGGAGGACGCCGGAAAAATGTTTGTTGGTGGCTTCAGCTGGGATACCAGCAAAAAGGATCTGAAAGACTATTTTACCAAATTTGGAGAGGTCATTCACTGTACAATAAAAATGGATCCTAACACTGGGCTGTTAAGAGAATTTGGGTTCATCCTCTTCAAAAACGTAACCAGCGTGGAGCAGGGACTAGACCAGGAGTAGTCCCGGATGGATGGTCGCATTATTGACCCTAAAAAGGCCAAGGTCATGAAGAAGGATCCAGTGAAGAAAATCTTCGTTGGCGATCTGAATCCTGAGGCCACTGAGGAGAAGATCAGGGAGTACTTTGGCGAATTTGGGGAGATTGAGGCCATTGAATTTCCCATGGCTCTAAAGTCTAACAAAAGACGAGGCTTTGTTTTTATCATCTGTAAAGAGGAACCTGTGAAGAAAGTTCTGGAGAAAAAGTTTCACACTGTCAGTGGAAGCAAGTGTGAAATCAAGGTGGCTCAGCCCAAAGAGGTCTACCAGCAGCAGCAGTACAGCTCTGGGGACTGTGGAAACTGCAACCGAGGGAACCAAGGCAATGGTGGTGGTGGTGGTGGAAGTGGAGGTCAGGGTAGTACAAATTACAGGAAGAGCCAGCGATGCGGTGGCCACCAGAATAACTACAAGCCATGCTGAGGCCGTGGCAGGCACAGGAGCTGGCCATGCCGCCCCGTTTGGATATCAGTGAACATAATTATGTACCAAATTTTAACTTGGCAAACTTTCTATGGCCTGTCCCATGTGCATCTTATTTAAAATTTTCCCCCTGGAAAACACTCTCCTGTTTACTACTTCCAGAGTTAGTTATGTTAACAGCGTGCGGTTTATCAGAGGTCGAGCAGCATCGTGGGCCTAATTTAATACCAGGTTCCTCAAGACCCGAGGGGTGGGTGTGCACCCAGCTGTCGCTCTGTATCCTGGGCCTGCAGGCACTGGTGGGTAAAGAGTAAACTTGTACCTTTGTCACCTTTTTTCACCTTTTAATTTTATATTAGTTGTGTCATACATATCCTGGAACAGAAGTGTTAATTTTACTGTACTTTTTGGTACCTTTTTGGGAATCTAATGTATTGTAAGGTATTTTATGCATGTCCTGATTTTGCCACGACCTGGATATTGAAGCTATCCAAGCTTTTGAAATAAAAATTTAACACCACCCCACAAAAAAAGAATTCAACAACCTCCAAACCTAACCTACATTCAGTTTTTTAAAAGCATTATCTATTTTGACCATAGGCCAAGATTCCAACAGCATTTATCACTGTTCAAACCTGCTATACTAGACTTAGATCCTGTCAGTCATAGCCCTAAATTTAGCTCAAAGGCTTAGACTAACCCAAAGGCTGGCACTTTCTATACCCCACCCCCAAAAGAAACCTGTTGCTTAAGCTTAGAGTCCAGATTACTCAGGAGCAGAAAATAGCTGTTACTTACTTTTGTTTCACTTCTTATAGGCAAAGACTACATGACAAGGATACAAGTAAGAAAATGATTTTTAATTTCCCCAATAACTTTTAACTCAGACACTAAAATGTAGGACTCATTTTGTAACACCGTATTAATCGCTTTTCTGCAATGCAATGATACGAATTGATAAGCCTTTTAAAAATATATATAATTTAGTATAAAATGATTTAAAAATATAACTTTATCTGCCAAAACCTTAACTATGCCATAATAAAAAATTCAGTAGAGCTATGTCTTTTATAGTAAACAGTATGAAAAAAATCTGTTTTAAGGCAAAAGGCAATTTCCTCAGCTACAAGACAAAATAGAATAACCATCTTTAGCTAATGAAATTTCTTTTTAAAGGAAAAACAAAAAAATCTGACTTAATTTAACTTCAGTTTTACTTCTGTGTACCCAAAATATAAGAAACTAAAATCAATTACTGGCTAACCAAGAGACTTTTTTGTTCATAAACGGTTTTGTTGAACATACACAGATTGGTAATGGGGAGAAAAAAAAATCTTACTTTTCGAATAACTTGTTGCTGTTGTGCATGTTTTGCTCGCAATTCTGACACCTCCTTCCAAAGGGACTCATTCTCACTGTAACATTAATAGCAACAATAACAACAAAAGAAAAAAGATAACAACTTAGAAATCCAGGCCTCAATATCTCCATTTAGTAATACCAAAGAATTTAACTATATGTATACACATATTCACTATTTTTATGAGAACAGGAATACTTTGGTTCAATTACGTAGTAACAGTAGCTACATAAACATAATCCAGAATCATCCCTTCAAAGTTGTAGGATTTGCTACCTATGGCAACAGGTATACAAAGACTTGAAAGAAGCATACCTATATCCATACAGAAGCAGGCAATTTACTATTTAACAAGCTTTTTCATTAATGGTTGTTTTAAAAACAGACTAAGCTATTCTTTCAACATGGCTACCAAATACAGTCAGAACTTTTTAATCACCTTGGGGAAGTAACATTTATCCAACACTTGCTATGCTCTAGGTACAATGCTAAACATATTACTTAATAACTCCTATAAAAGTCCAAATGAATTATTAGCATCTCTGTATCTTTCATAAGAGAGGCTGGAGGTTCAGAGAAATGAAGGAATTGGCTTAAGATTCACACAGGTAATTTGGTTAAGTGTTAAAGTCAAACTAAAATCTGTTTGATATTATACCTACTTTCCCTCAAGATCTGTCTCCCATATGCATATGCAAACATAAAATGTTTTTTGTTTAAAAAAAAATGTCAATATAAGAAAACCAGTAACTTTCACAACAGCAATAGGATCTTTTAATTTATTCAGTTTAATCTGAAATTAATGTTGAAATGAAGCAAATATTCTTACATAGTAGATGTGTCAACTGTCACTTTTTTTATATCTTCCTTCATAAATTATCTTCCATAATCCAAACCATTACAAAAAGATCTGTCTGTGAGCTTATATTAAAAAACCACCAAAAAACAAACTAGTTTCAGACCAGTCAATTCTAATTCATGTATTTAAGAACAAAACTAGACTCCATGGCTATGTCCTTTGAGAAGTAAATCTTTAGCCTCAACTCTTCCAAGACATCTCTGGGTGAATTTCAGTTAGTAGCTGAGCACTAAAATGTTTGCACCACAAAGGGATTCCTGGTTTTCCACAGAAGTAATGAGAAAGAAACTCAAAACTTACTTAAGAACTACTATACTTTTCCTGACTCAGGATTTTAAAAATGCAGTCATCTACCTACTAAAGAGAAGTGGGAAAATGGCTACCTCTAAGACTGAGATGATGATTCTGAAATCCCTTTCATAGTTAAACTTGATCCCCCAAGAACTGGGTCAAAAGTAGCTCAGCTCACATGATGCAGACAACAAACATTATTAGTGGTTAAAAGTCCAATGTAGGAAATGGAATAGTTGTTAAGGCTTTGTAAAAAAAAGTTACTTGTTTGTTTTCAAGGATTACACTTCAATGTAAAGGAGGTCAAAATCCTTACTACTGGACGAATGGGTAAAATCATGATAAAAGATGAAGTTGTCAAGAATTTTGTCTTGCTTGGCTCCACTGTCAAGGTTCAGTCAAGATATTAAAAGACAAGGTAAATCTGCTCACAAGACCTCTTTAGAGCAGAGCTTCTCAACCTTCCTAATGCCACGACCCTTTAATACAGTTTCTCATGTTGTGGTGACCCAAATAAAAAAAATATTTTCGTTACTACCTCATAACTGTAATTTTGCTACTGTTATGAACTGGGTGACCCCTGTTAAAGGGTTGTTCAATCCCCAAAGAGCTTGTGACCCAGAGGTTGGGAACAGCTGCTCTAAAGTATGGAGGGGTAAGGCATACCTTATCCATTGCTTCATATGCACGTGAAAGTTGGTCACTGAGTAAGGAAGACTGAAGAATGGATGCATTTGAATTGTGGTGCTGGAGAAGAATACTGAAAGGACCACGGACTGCTAAAAGGAACAACAGATCTATTGTGGAGAAAGTATGATCAGAGTGCTCCTTAGAGGCCAGGGTAGCAAGACTTTGTCTTATATACTTTGGACATGTTGTCATGAGACCAGTCCCTGGAGAAGGATATTATGTTTGGTAAAGTAGAGGGGCAGCTAAAAAGAGGAAGGCTCTGAAGGAGATGGAATTGCACCATGGCTGCAACAATAGACTTAAGCAGGGGAACACTTTTACAGGTGGTGCAACATGACTGGAAGGGTTTCCTTCTGTTTGTGCATAAGGCTGCTATGGGTCAGAACTGACTCAATGGCATTAAAAACATTTTTCCCCTCCAATTTTATTTTGGTGGTGGTGGTAAGAATTTACACAGCAAAATAAACACTGAAAGGTCACTCTCTTATGGAAGACATTCGAGTTAATAATAGCTAAAAGAATGTTCCATTTTTGATGGGTAAAGAGAACGTTATGAATTACTACTGTTAAGCCTTTGGTCATCAATTAGTATAAAGACAGAACCCAGTGCCTTATTAAGAAGGGATGTATATATCTAGCCCATAAATAAGTTATTCCTGTGTTATGATAATGGTGCCATAACTTGTAGGGTAACAAAATAAAGCAACTTTTTGTAGTAAAATGTCTCAATACTCATGTATAAGCCGAGCTTTTCCAGCACATTTTCAATGCAGTTTTTGTGATAAAATTAGGTGCCCTGGCTTATATTTGCGTCGGCTTATACTCGAGTATATACAGTACTTTTCCAAGTTTATGTAAAATAACTATCAAGTAGGGCAAGTCTCTTTTAGAATAGTTTTTTTCTTCCACCCCGAAGAGATAGCCCACATAGAGAAAGCAGTTAAAAACCTTCATAAAAGACAGAATGGGTAGTATATACAGAATTTTTTGTGGTTTATATATCTTCATTTGTATGTGAAGATTCTATAAAAACCTAAGAATCAAATTTTCTTCATCAACTTAGCAATTTACTGTTTTGATTAGTAAGATTTGTTTATCAAGTAATTTTGAGGTGTGGCTAAGTTGATATACCAAGCCCAAAAACATTACTATTAGGGTTACAGTTCACACATACATGGGCTTAGTCCAAACAAAACATGCAAAACGTCTCTATTATCAGTGGATGATTGCAGACAAAGTCTCTCAGTTATACACTTCTCGGGTTATGGTGCCCTCAAAATAATAACAAAAAAGTCCAGTCAAAATAATTGCTTCTGAAGGGATCTGCTGAGTGAATTATAAGTCAAGGTAAATAGGTCAGCTCAGGTTATCGCCACTATTTTTTGAGATTCCAAAGAATAATCTTGGTAGATTTTCTTGTAGAACACAGAAAAAAAATCATAGAAATTTATTAGGAAAAAGTTTTAAGAAAATGGAAAACTGCACTGGTAAGAAGGGAAGTTGCACTTAGGAATTTTTTCCATTATGACACCACACTTACTCATTCCTCATGGGTAGCATGGGCTGTCCTATGAAAATTTCACTGAGAAACCATACCTCATCCACCCAACAACCTTAATTTGACCCCTCCAGACTTCTTTCTCTCCTTACAAATATTTAAAAGGAGCTTGATCTGAGTCCCTTTAGGATACCCAAAGTGCTGATTAGGTATATAAATCTCAGGGCTCCGAATTCTTCCAGGAAAAGTTAAGAGCTGGAAAAACTACCTTCAAAAGTGTACAGAGCTAGATGAAGGGTATGTGGAGCAGCAGTTGCTTCTTACTCTGCTATTTTGTTTAATACAGGTTTCTATGGTTTTGCAACAATGCTTTTTGATCTCCATCCTATTTTTCCCCCACAAGCATCATGCAAATGGAATATTGGGGTAGTCTATGGCCACAAATCATTGGCTACAGAGAAATCACCTTTTATTTGGGCTTCAGTAAAGTACCGTGTATTCTTGTGTATAAGCCGAGTTTTTCCAGCACATTTTAATGCAGTTTCTGTGGTGAAATTAGGTGCCTCGGCTGATATTCGGGTCAGCTTACACTTGAGTATATATGGTACTACAAAACCATCAACCAGTCTCTGTCAAGTCAATTTTGGCTTGTGGAGACTTCATAAATGTTAGATTACAACTTAACTTTTAAGTTCTCTGTGGCTGAATTCCTAAAAGTGGATTGTCAGGATTTTTTCTAACATACCTTAGGTGTACTTTTTGTTTGAAGTTCAAGACATTAACTGTTTATACCACTCAGTGATCGAAAGTATTTGACAATAAACAGACAACTTTTAACACCCAGCACACATATCTGAAAGCCCTTATTATTAGTATTAGGAATGATAGCTCGCTCACCTTTTCAATTCAGAAAGCCTGGACTCAATAGTTTCTTGCTTTATTTGAACCTTCTGAGCACTACTCATAATTTTTGTTAAATCTTCCTGACGAATTTTATTTTCTTCTGGTTTTGAAGATGAAACCTTGACAAAAACACAATTTAGAAAACAAAACAAATATCAAACACCATGATTGTAATCAAAACTTATATGAAATTTCTGTAATCTGTTTAAGGAGAGAGCTGATTCCCAAAAGCCTTAGATAGGATTCTAGGGAAAGAAAACACTTCATAGCTTAAGAGGAGGCGCAGCAGGAAGAGAGAGGAATAATTAGTCAAATACACACCCACACACAGGCTTCAAAAAGTTAATGAAAAATGGAATGAAAAGTGGAATTTTTCCACAAACATTCTGAAGTCCTCTTGTTTGTGTGTGCGTGTGATCTTAAATATTTAGAGTATTCTATGAGCAGGAACAACTTACAGGTTTTTAATTTTCCCTCTGTAATACCCGCAAGTCTCTTTATTACCACATTCCATATTTAATTAAATGTATGCAGCAAAAACTGCATGCTATGCCACTTGCTTTCACCATCTCAATTTACTTCTTCCTCTTTTAAGGATTTAGTATAAAGATCCTATTTCAGTAAAATACAAAAGCCATTCAAAAGTGTGAGTGCTTTCTATGTGCCAGGAACTTGTGCTCAGACTTGGATATACAACAAGAAATTATGGGTTTCATAGGATCAGTCTTTCTAGCCTGCTGACATTCTAGGAACACTGTATCTTAATAAGTCATCAGAAGGAATGAGACATCCATTATATAGATCACTTTTCATCCTCAGCCAGAGAGTAAACAACATTTTCCTTCTCACTAGAAAATATCTGAAAATTGATTCCTTAGTACAATTGAGCAAAGAGGAAAAAGATGGGAGAAAAATATTTCTACATAAATAACATGTGCATGTTTTTTTTGTAAATTGTATACCACTGCCCATAATACTTTCAGTCAGTATAGACATGTTTCTTATTTGCAAAAAAAAAATATGTAGTGTAAGCTATCTCAAAAAATGACGACCTATATATTTCTGTACATTCTTATTTCAACAGCTAAAATAAATGTTTGGTCAAGTATATTATATTCATGACAATGCCTTAATATATGTAAATGGTCACTCACCTTTCGTTTGATATTTTCTAACAAGTCATCCTGGCCTTGTTTGAAGTAAGGATGCTGAAATTCAACAGGCCCATCTCGTTCCTGCTTTATGATTCCAGAGTCAATATGTACTACTTTACGAAATCCATCTGAAAAAGAATCAAAATTCCGAGGACTGAAATGGACTAAAGTAAAAAATTAATAATGTTAATATGAATGCATTCCCTTTATCATAACATAAACAAACAAAAATAGTGCAAACTAGTTGGTAGCAGCACTCCAAATAAACTACTTGCCCATACTCACACATATTCAATTGCCTCACAAAGCTTGCCATGTTATTGTGTTTGAAGTATTTGGGAAGAATTTCTTTTGCAAATCTTTGTTCATCCAAAACCAGAAAACTTTGACCATTCTGAAACAAAACCAGAAAAGGTCAATTTGTTAAGGCACATGGTGATATGGTATGATACATGGGCAGTCCTCTCACGATTCCTTTGCACTAACATCTTTTTTCCTGTTATTGGCAACAAGAAACAATGTCAAGCTATGCTTGGCTGGCCACTCAACAAAAAATTTAGGAGTAGAACTGCCCCATCAGGTGTCCAAGGCTATAAATCTTTAACGATGCAGACTGCCACATCTTTCTCTCACAAAGCATCTGGCAGTTTTGAATCCTCACCTTTTACCTAGCAGCCAAATATTTAATCACTCCACTCCTAGGACCATCCACTTTGCTTATTTTGCTACTTGACCCTAGGAAACTAAGACATTATCCAATACACTTATCTCCCAATTAAAAAATAAAGGGGGGGGGGTGAGATGAAGAAATAATATGAGACCAAATGTTCGGTATTAAATTTGTTTTTGTTTTGTTTGAGAATGCAGTCCCCCACTACCACAAATTATGCAGTCAAGTTTCCCACATTTGGGGAAACCGCAGGGGTCAGCACATCCAGAGTGCAATGGATAAGCCTCACCTTGGGAAAATCACCTTCGTGATCATGGTATCTCCCCTGCCAGATAAGTATAAATTTGTTTTAAAAAGTAATCATATGACAATAATGATAGTGAGGATTAGTGAGCTGCTAACACCAAGGTTAGGAATTCGAATCCTCTAGCTACTCTATGGGTACAAGATTCTAGTCTCAGAAACCCTAAGGGGCAGCTCTAATCTGTGCTCTCACTGCCAGTCAATGCTGACTCATAGTGATCCCCTGTGGGTTTCCAAGTCTGTAATGATTTAACAGAGTAGAAAGCCTAGTCTTTCTCCCGTGGTGCTTGCTGGTGGTTTTGAACTGCCAACCATGGAGGAGTGCAGCCCAACATGTAATCACTACAACCACCAGGGTTCCTAATCTATGCTATCGGGTCTCTATGAGGTGGAATTGATTCAATGGCTGTTGAGTTTTGAACTATACAGGTGAAACCATTTTTTCCTCCAATAATAGGTGACTTTAATCCTCTGTTGAAAATCAGCTGTCCACACCTGGATGAACTCATCTAGCTTACTTCTGGGCCCTCAATTTGGTTCCATGTTTCTGTCATTACCAGTACCAGGTTGTTTTGACAACTGTGGCTGTAGTCCTCTAGTCTTCTAATAGTTTTCTTGATTGCTAAATATTTACTTTCCAGTCCTCCCTGCAAATAAAAACAAATCCTAACTGCCTTTGTGTTGATTCTGACTCACAGTGATCCGACTCATGTCTGAGTAGAATTATGTTCCATAGGGTATTCAGTAGATGCATTTTTGAAATGAAGATTGCCAAATTTTGCTTCTAAGGCACCTTTAGGTAGTCTTGAACATCCAACTTTTTGATTAACTACTGAGCATTTTAACTGTTTGTACCACCCATGAATAACAGGTCAAAATAAAACCACACCAAACCCATGAAAGTCAAAGTCATCTCAAAAAACAAAGACCTGCCCCATAGGGTTTTCAGGGCTGTACTTTTTACAAAAGCAGACTGGACTGCCACATATTTGTATTGCAGTCAATGGTGACTGAACCTGTGAACTTTTGATTAACAGCTGAGCCACCGCATCACCCACCTCCATGCAAATAAATCACACAAACTCACACCCACTGAGTGGATTCCAACTCATAGAGACTTTATAAGACAGAACAGATCTGCCCCTTTGGGTTTCGGGGACTTCACACCTTAACAGGAGCCAGAAGCCTTATGATTTTCCTTCACAGCAGCAGGTGGGTTCAAATGACTGACCTTGTACTTAGCAGCTCAATGCATGGCCAGAGGGTCATATAACATAGGCCTGGCTAATAAGATATAAGCAGAATGTATGGGGTAGGACTTAAAGAGAAGCTTGAGGGTATTGTGGGGAGAGGGAGGAGGGTTCAGAATATGTAATCCCAAATCTCAATTTCTCTACTTAAAATGAGATAATGGTTAGAGTTCTAGCAACCACTATTTGTGGTAAAGGCATCTAAAGTCTGACTAAACAATTACAGAAGGTATCTGATCATCAGACCTGAAATAAATAACTCATCTCTATCTGTTTAAGTCACTGTTAATTGGACAGAATACAGGTGAGAATAAGTCTACACCTTAGTCTAATGTGTGAACTTCATCACCTTTGTTTCTTGGGCATATGGTCTACTGGAAGACAAAAACCATGCCTCCATCAAAGCCATTCCTCAGTCTATAAAAGCCATCTGAGAAGCAGGAGTACATAGACAAAAATCCCAGGACCATGGAAAAAGAGCCACCAGAGAAGCATGTTCAAGATTTCTGTCTAAAGTGATGGAAGCTGAGACCAGAGACACGAGAGGCTGTGGCTGAGACACTATTGGACACACTTAAAGGAGCCAGGGCAATGCACAAAAAAGAACATGAGACAGAACCAAGAACATAGTCAAGAGTATGGGACTGTAACTCGAGTGAAAAAGCAGGCTTCCTAGCCTGCAGAAGGAGAAGAGAATGCGGCTGAGAAGTTGAGTATTAAACACTTGGTTGCTGGCTGAAGAGGTGCTGCTGTGAGCCATTGGCTGTATCCTTAACGTTTACTGATCCTGACTTGTGGAAACCTATCAACTTCCCTAATACCAAAACCAAACTCAGTGCCGTAGAGTCAATTCTGACTCATCGTGATGCTACTGGGCCAGTTACACTGCCTCTGTGAGTTTCCAAGACTATAATTCTTTACAGGAGTAGAGAACTTCATCCTTCTGCCTTGGAGAGGTTGGTTGGTAGTTTCAAACTGCTGACCTTATTATGGTTTTCAAAACTCATAACCCACTATGCCACTAGGACTCTCCTAACGTCCCTAATTTAAAAAATTGCAAACTCACTGCCACTGAGTCAATTCTGACTCACAGAGAGGCCTGATGGTATAATAGTCACATGTTGGGCTGAAACCACAATGTTGGCAGTTCAAATCCATCAGCCCCTCTGAGAGAAACAAGGCTTTCGACTCCCACAGATTTGTTGTTGTTAGGTGTCATCGTGTCTTTTCCAACCCATAGCACAACAGAACAAAACACTGCCCAGTCCTGCGAAATCTTCACAATTGTTTCTATACCTGAGCCCATTAGTGCAGCCACTGTTGTCAATCCACCTCATCTCGAGGGCCTTCCTCTTTTTTGCAGCCTCTCTGTTACCCAGCATGAAATCCTCCAGGGACTAGTACCCTGAAAACATGGCCAAAGTATTTAAGACACAGTCTTGTCATCCTTGCCTCTACAGAGCACTCTAACCATACTTCTAAAACAGATCTACTTGTCCTTTTAGTAGTCCATGTTATTTTCAATATTCTTCAATTCAAACAGACATTCTTCTTCTTTGGTCTTCTTTATTCAATGTTCAACTTTCCCATGCATATGAGGCAACTGAAAATATGGCTTAGATCAGGTGCACCTTAGTCCTCAAAGTAACATCCTTGCTCTCAATACTCTAAAGAAGTCTTGTAAAGAGATACAGTCTCAGACACTCCAAGGGAAGTTCTACTTTTTTTTTTTTTGCAGGGTCACTTTAAGTTATCTGAGAACTTCCCTAAAATGCCCTTAATATTAAGTATTGCCTGTGATTTTTGTGTGGTCATTGCAATGGATTGTTGAACCCAGTACAGTAGTGCTGTGAATACGAAACTCATTGCTATCAACTCAATACTGACTCATAACAACTCTACAGGACAGGGTAGAATTGCCCTGTGAGTTTCTACGACTGTAACTGTTTATGGGAGTAGATAGTTTGGTCTTTCTTCCTGAGACCCATTGGTGGTTTTGAGCTGTCAATCTTGCAGATTGTAGTCCAACACATAACCACTATATAGAAAATGTTACAGTATGTAATTTGTTTAAATTTATAATATAATGCCTTATTCTCCATGGGCAAAGATTAGATTTCTGAAAATACTGATGTTTCTAAGGCAATAATAATGAAAGCTTTTGGACTTCTGAGAAGATGGTGACTGAGTAACACATACCAGAGGGACTCGCAGAAATAAACCGAGGAGAGTTACTAAAAAGGAAATTCAATACTGCTGGATTGCAGGAGGAGCATCATAAAGATAAGTAGGCACAGATCCACAAGGTTTTGAGGGGCTGGGGGCTTTTAGCTTACAACAGTGGAGGCTGGCTAGGGTTTGACCTTAGCCCTGCCATTGTCTTGGCTGGAGCCGGGACCATTTGGAGGTGGGCCGGGGGCTTAATCTCAACACAGCTACAGTCTGCCTCTGGGCAGGGATTAAACCCTTGCAGCCCCACAGGCAGGGCTCAGCTATATTGTTACATTTGTTTCCCTCTCTTCTCTCTATTCCCCCAAAGTCTCAGCAGGCTTAGTGTATTTTTCCCCCCTCCTTGTCTATTCCCTGTTCTCTCACATTGTACTGGTGACCTCCAGACCACTCCCCTTAGCCTAGGGCATTTACGTCTGCCCCACAACCAGTTAGGTGAGCTCTACTCTGTGCAGGAATTGCTGCCTGTGTGGCTGGGGGAGCTCAAATTTTTCGTTTGCTGTCCCATGTGATGGAGGGAACTTACTCCCGCCTACACATTAGTGCCTCACTTGGCCTAAGGCAGCTCAGCCAACACTCGCCAATGTTCCATGCTGCTGAAGGAAGCTCTGCCCAACCTCCGCAGTGATCTACCTGGCCAACTTAATTCTGCCCACCATTCACAGTGTTCTACACAAAAGCAGGCAATCCACCAGCCTTCTGGGGCACTCCCCTGAGAGGAAAGCCACAGGAGGATAAGGTAGTAAGCTAATTCCATAGTGAAATAAGCTGTAGGCAATTCGAAGCAGCATTCCTAAAAGTCTCCCAGAGAGAGCCAGTGCTCTTCGACTCCCTGGAAAATGGCAGCTGCCTCCTCTAAAACAATGCAACGCAAACAGCCATCAACCCCAATGAAAAAAAAAAGGAGAAACAAAAGCGAAAGTTAGAAGATGTCCTGAACCT